ACTTGGAAAGCTGTGGCAGGAGGATCACCCGAGCCCATGGGTTGAGGCTGCAGTGGCCGTGAGCATGCCACTGCAGTCCAGACTGGGTGACAAAGACCTCAACTCAAAATAAATAAATAAATAAATAAAAATAGATTATGTAAAAATGACATGATGAAAGCACAAATCTTTAAGCCAGTCATTAAATGCGACAGTGAGCCTTCTGAGGGGCCCCTGAAGGAGATGGGTGGTGATGCTGGAAGCACAGCCAGGCCTGAGTCCTGCTGTTGCCCGAACCTGCTTCCGTCTCCCCCAAGCCTGAGAAGGGGCGAGAAACCATCTCACGTGTGGGTATCGTGTGGACTTTCTAAGAAACGTATATAAAAGCTCATAGCACAGTGCCTGGCATATGTATTTTAAGTGCTCAGCAAATTGCAACGATTGCTATGAAAACAATTACATCAGAAATAGCCTAGATACTTCCACAAAAGATGAAGAACTATTGTTACTACTGACATTATACTTATTACTAATCCAGTTTCAACATTTATCCTAATGAGATAAAAAGAATCCTTCCCAGACAGGTAATCCTTGAGAAGCTGTGACATGACCTAGGTGAACAATTCCAAATCAAATACATTACTTGTCAAAGTTCTCAAGCAAAACGTAGAAATGCAGAACAACTGAGGATTCCATCACAGCCAGTTATGCGTAAGCCAAGTTTTACAGATGACTCCATCAACATCTAAGAAAAAGAAATTAACTAGGGAAAAAGTCGTGCATCTCAACAAACAGACGACAAGACTACGAGCAAATGTAACCACAAAATTATGTCAGAAGCGGTGTGGCTTCAACAGAGGCAGAATGCCTACCTATAAAGCAGCTGTCTCTAGGAGGAAGGGGCAACGCCCGCCCTGTTGTGTTACCTGGGTGAGTCATGGTGACTGGCTCCTCTTTGGACTTATTGTTGTAGATGACCACAGCAACTGCATTGTGGAACGCGGCCCGCGAGATCTTCTCTTTAAACGTGCAGTTTCCCCTCTGCAGCAAGGCGATCCACTGCTTGATGTTAGGAGGGACGAGGAACCGCGTCTGAGGGTCACAGCCCAGGTGGTCAGCAACTAGAAAGGGGAGAGACTCCCATTAAAAGAAGTCGTCAGAGGGCCCGACGGTGCCCTGAGCAGCCCAGTCAGCAGAGCTAGGCATGTATCCACACCGCGCCACACGACAAGCCCCAGCCAACACCACGGAGCCAGATGCTCCACTAAGATGGGGTCTCCAAAGCACGTCAAAGCCACAGATACTACGCAGCCATAAAAAAGAACAAAATCATGAATTTCGCAGCAACCTGGATGGAACTAGAGTCTATAATACTGAGTGACCTCTCACAGAAACAAAGATCTGAGCACCACATGTTCTCACTCATAAGTGGACCTTGAACAACTACTGTAATACTATTAAGAAAAGGATTGACAGTGGCGGGAAACTATGGGGGGGGACAGGGAGGGGAAGGGGGGACACCCCGTATCAATAAGGGTGCCTGAACGAAGCATATTTGTATACCTAACCCTTCACTTTAAAATAAAAAATATGTTTTAAAAAAAAACGATGGAACTTCTTCAAATTCTGATAACAACAGATGGATAACTATGGAAAAAGACTGATGATATCCAGGGCAGGCTGGTCAAGAGAGGAAGAGGAAGAGGCAACATGGGAGAAGAACCCCAAAGCAGGCAGGGACTGACCTTGCCCTGACTTTCAGGACAGCGCCTGCTAGTCTCTCCACACACCTGCCACGACTCCCAAGGTGGCACGACCCTCACAGCGACACACCCACCATGTGCCATGAGCGCCAGGTGGAAAAACAGGAGATTAGTTCTGCTTGGGGCAAGTGAGGAAGCCAAAGTAATCCCTGGTTCAGTTGCCAAGAGGTCTTGCTGAAATTCAAGCATGTTTGGCAAATTTCTTTTTTTTTTTTTTGAGTTGGAGTCTCACTCTGTCACCCAGACTGGAGTGCAGTGGCACACTCCTGGCCACCGCATCCTCGACCTGCTGGGCTCCGGCAATCCTTCCGCCTCAGCCTTCCAAGTAGCCGGGACTACAGGCATGTGCTACCACGCCCAGTTGATTTTTGATTTCTTGTAGAGACAAGGTCTCACCATGTTGCCCGGGCGGGTCTCAAACCCGCGGGCTCAGGCAATCCACTCGCCTTGGCCTCCCAAAGTGCTGGGATTACAGGCTGAGCCACCAAGCCCAGCCGGCAAATTTCCTAATAAATGTGTAAGGACATTTTGAAGTTCAGTGGTGGCCAATGTTTGGAAGCTGGAGTAGTTAAAATAATATCAAATTAGAATTAAGATATTATCCCTCGAATTTATATTCATTAGCAAAAATGACTGCATCTCCACATGAAGATACATTTACTGTATCCACCTGTCTAGTGGGATGCAAGACCATCCCTTGGGGCTGCAAAGCACATGGCCTCTGCTGTAGATTCTGGGCGGCCATTTATTTCAAATGCCCCACAAGCACGTCTGAACTCAGACCGAGCTCCTCGACCTCTGATGCTGTGCACACGGCCACGGCAGCTGCTCCCCTCTGCCGTTCAAGAGCAGCCCTTGCTGCCCCTCTCAACCCGTCCTCATCCATAACAGCTTGAAGTGAGAGCGCAGGGCCGTCCAGAAAGGGCACAAGGCACCCGAGGTCAGGCCTGAAGGTAAGCAGTGGCAGGACATGGCCCGTGCTGCTGGAGACCATCACCGCCAGGCCCATGGGGGCAGGGGAGACAACACGACGACGTGAAGGCGGGACACAGTACGCTCATCCAAGGAGAGTGAACGCCTAAGGAAACTAAGTGCTGATTGATAATAAGCCATGACCGAAGCACATGAGGAGATGCCACAGGCGATGAAATGCTTGCTCTCCCCACTCCTGGAAGCACACACTGTTAGCAGAAGAAGCACATGTTTACATTTACACGACCGTGAGATGTCAGCTTGCCACTGGCTTCAGAGAAACACCGCACCCATCACTCCCGCTCCAGCGTCTTTCCCCCAGCGTTCTGATCACTGTGGCAAGGATGGCAACAAGAGCGTGTTTGCTCCCAGAGACTCCTAATGCACCAAGCAAGTGGGAGGTGAGCACTTGCACCATCTGTCCACTGTGCTACCCACCCTGTTCCCGAAATGGTTTCTGCACTCTGAAACTTCAACCCTTTCTCAACCAAACCCAACAGGGGGATTAAAAGCCTACGTCACGATGCTAGCAGTCGCCTCCCAAAAGGCACAATCAACACATCATGAAACTTTAAAACCCTGAAACAGACTGTTTACTTTCAATTATGCTGCTTAGGATACAAGCAGTCCGGCGATGTGTCACGATGACCTCACTGTCTGAGGAACATGTCCAATGCCGTGTCCAAGCAGGGAGGAATCAAAGTACTGGCTTGAGTGTTTCACTTGTTATTTTTCAAAAGAGGGCTGCACAACCATGGAAGAAAACGAAAAATCAAGAACATCCACAGAGATCTGTACACCCATCTCCTGTGGAAGTTATTAACATCGCTGTGGTTTCACATGCGCTTATAGAGCAGAAGAGAGCAAACAGCACAGCTACGGAGTCTGGGGTCTAGTTCTAGGTCAACACTCCAGCTGAGCAACTGTCGCCACGACTTCAGTCTTCTGATCTTTAGTTGTGGCTTGCTTACGCTGAGATATTCTTATCCCACAGAGTGATATATGTGAAAAAGCCTACAGTGAGGCCTTTGTTCTTGAGTGCCCTTCCTTTCGTTTGACTGGCATCGCCCCAGGTGGCCACAGGGACCCAGTCTGGCACCTCGGGGATCTATGCTGGAACGTGGAAGCCTCCCCTGCTCGTCCGTCCTTCCAGCCTGCCCGCGATCGCAAGCCCCACCCACTTGCCCGTTCCTTCCGACAGCATCACAAGCCGGTCAGGCGAACAGCAGCTCAGTTGCCTTCCCCATTGCCAAGGAGCGACACACAGATCACAGAGCAAGGGATATTAAGCCTGCCAAAGAACTGCAGAGACCCCCTACAGCAACCCCCACCCACCAAGGACAGTCTCCATGCCACCATGTGAGCAGAACGAATTCCAGCACACTGCACAAGCACTCCTGCTCCCCAAACTCATCCACACAAGGTTTCTGGAAGAATCTGTATCAGCAAGAAAGCAATGCAAAACAAGCAAGAATAAAACAGACACATTTCTGTTCAAGGAAGTAGTATTTGTTATTCAGAACAAAGTGTTTTCATAATCAAGAACTTAATACTGTAGTAATTTTACTAATTTTATCTAGTTATTTCCTATATTTTAAAAAATGAACAAAAATAATTAACAGCTCTAAAACGACTTTCTAAGAAGGCTGATGACTGTGATTAAGTGGCACTACTTCAAAATTGAATGCCAGCTGTTTACACTTGAAGCAATTTATTAAGTGAAGACACATTATATCATAAAAGACCTATGTGATTATGAGCCATAAAATGTGTCAATAGCAATTCAGCTCAAATTCAGAATCACTTTGTTTCTTTTTTTCTTACCTGTTAAATTTTATAAGAGGGATGCTACCTCTGAACTCTGCATTTATTAGTTACAGAGTCAGAAAAGAATTTACTAGATGTTTTGGTAAAAACTTGAAATTATAAATAATACAATATCATACTATGGAAAAACCTAAAATTTTTCCTGTATGACTTACTCGGTAAGTCAAAAAACAGCAATGAGCCTTATTTACTTCTTAACAGGAGCCAGCCATGGGATCCAGGCCTCCATGGAGAAAGCTTAGCAACACACTAAGTGCTAAAGAGAAAGACAATGGAGCTCACACCTTGGCCTCAACTTTTCTTTTTTTGATGACGATGATGATAAAAAGTATGTATTTGTATCATTTGGGTCAAATCTTTTTTTTTTTTTGAGTTGGAGTCTCACTCTGTCGCCCAGACTGGAGGGCAGCGGCCGTTCCCGGCCACCGCAACCTCGACCTGCTGGGCTCCGGCGATCCTTCTGCCTCAGCCTTCCGAGTAGCCAGAATTACAGGCACACGCTACCATGCCCAGCTGATTTTTTGATTTTTATTGTAGAGATGAGGTCTTGAACCCGCGAGCTTGGGCAATCCACTCACCTCAGCCTCCCAAAATGCGAGATTACAGGCTGAGCCACTGAGTCGGGCTTTTTTTTATTTTAAAGATGTGGGATACAACTCGGGGTTAGGTACATACGTGGACATCATACAGGTATAATCTGGGTACCCTTATTGGTATTATGTGCCCCTCCTCTCCTGGCAGTGTCCTACTACTGCCCATTCCTTTCTTATAGTAACAGGATCAACGCTCAGGGTCCGCTTATGAGTGAGAACATGTAGTATTCAGATCTTTGTTTCTGTGATAAATCAATGAGTGTTACAGACTCTAAATCCATCCAAGTTGCTGCAAAGCCCATAATTTCATCTTTCTTTACGGCTACATAATATTCCATTGTGTATATGTTCCACATTTTCTTTATCCAGTCCAACTTTGATGGGCAGCACAGTTGGTTCCATGCTTTTGCTGGCGTGAATAGTGCTGCAATGAACATATGCACGTAAGTATCTTCTTATAGAGTGATCTGAGTTTCTCTAGGCATATTCCCAGAAGAGGAATGCTGGGTCGTAGGGAAGGTCGATATTCAGATCTTTTAGAAGTTGCCATACTTCTAAAATGTACCGAAATGGGGCAACTGGCACAGAAGTTAAGTGTCAGCAAGACAGCCAAGCGCCAACAGGAGAGGCTGTGGGAAGGGAGTGGGTGGCACAGTGGCAGAGGTTCAGTGGGACCTGGAGGCTGGCTGGAGCCCCACATGCGCTGGGGCAGAAGCAGGGTGCACAAGCTGCGGGCACAGGAACCCAGAAAAAAGACCACGCCCTCTCTGGAGCTCTCGCGAAAATCAGGCAGGATGACGGGTGGCCGAAACTGCAGCACTGCACGCGTTTGAGAGAGCCGGATCTGAAGAGGAGAGCCTCATCTGGGTACGAGGAACACGTCCATGTGGAAGGGGCCACCCCCAGATGCTCCTCCACTCCGAGTCACATGACCGAGGAGGGCCCCACGTCTCACACAGTGG